GATGGGAAGGGAAACGATGCTGGGAAGACGCCGCGCTCGCCTCTCCTGAGGCTGCTCTGTCCGTGGCACGGCCGTACCCAGACGTAACATCAAAGCCGCCCAGCTCAGTTGGACCAACACGTGTGTGCTCTCTGAGTTTGATTCAGCTGCTACTCTAGCTAAGTCACGTAGACCTTGACAGCGATGGCAGAGTGGGGCACTGAATGCAGGGGTCCCGATTTCTGTGCGAAGGCTCTAATTGTGGGGCTGCCCTCCCTTATACCTTGCTGGATGGGTGCTTTGGTACCACCTGGTAACACTAGGACTTGCTGGGTGGTGACTCTGCCAAGTACTTGCCTGTGGCTGCGCTGCGCTTTGGTTTCCCTGTCGGTGTTAGGACTAATGCCCAGAGCTGGAAGAGCCTGTGAGAGGCTGAGCAGATGAGAGGAACAGCCCGGGCTCCAGCTGAAATCCGTGGGGGGCACCCAGCCTTCCCGCCATCTGTTCCCCAGCTTGCAGATTGCACAGAGATTGCAGATTGCTCGTGGAAGATAATACAGAAATCTCTGTTAGATGCTTAGAGAGAGCACCACAACATGGGACGGAGGCACTGGCAGCTACCTGGCACGTAACTGGGAAGCACCAGTGAGCCGTTGCTTATATGGCAGTGGGAGAGTTGGGTGTTAGCATGGCTGTTCAGTGCCTCTTCCCCCTGAGAGACTGCTGGGGATGCTCTGCTGAGCAAAACTGGAGGATCTCTTGGCAGAGAAGAAGCTTGATGGGTAGGGGAGGCTCTGCCAAAATGCTGGTGCCCAGGCTCTCTCCCATCGGGCTGTGTGCTCAGTTGGGCGGAAGACCTCAGCACCTCGTCACAGCCCCTGAGCTCTGAAGGGACTGAAGCTCTCACACAGGAGCTTGGGCTGTCTGGATGCAGCCCTGAAAGCTCAGCTGTGTTTCCCCCACCTTCCCTTGCTTCAACGTGCTGTGCAGAGGAGCTGACCGCAGAGCAGCTATTGCCTCCTGCGCTTCACGGGCCATGGAGCCACTGTGGGAGGGAGTCAACGCACTGGCCAGCTCCGAGGGGCACACCGAGAGGTGAGCTTCTCTACTCCATTTGCTGTAATGGTGTGAGCCCCAAGCTGGATTGTTCCTGGGAGCCTGGACATTGGCCTCTCCTTTCAGGAGTGGAGAAGGAATATGGGAATGGTGTGCCTGCTGCTCCTTGCTCTGCTTTTTTCCTCTGGGGGCTGTAGCAGCAACCTTGCAAAGCAGAGGAGCATCGAAGGCTAATCCGACTGCACCTTGGAAAGAAGAAACCAGATTTATTGCTTCCTCTTCTGATCTTTACTCCCAGCTTTGCAACAGCTCAAGGCTGGATTTGTGCCATAGGCGCAGAGCAGGGATGTTCCCTCTTTTCTTCCCTGTCTCATGGCTTGTACTACTGTCCCTTTCCAAAGCGTTGGCCTTATCTGCCCTTGAATCTGGTGAGTGTTTCTGCCTGGCCCCGCTGAATAACGTGCTGTCTGTCTGTCTGTCTGACAGGATTGGGAGGTTCTAGTCCTGGAGAAGCTAAAGTGGGACCTGGTCTCAGTGATAGCAAATGATTTCTTGGCTCACATCCTCCATCGCCTCCCGTTGCCTAAGGACAAGATGGAGCTGGTGAAGAAACATGCACAGACCTTTATCGCCCTGTGTGCCACAGGTGGGTGCCTGGTCCTGCTGGAGCCACCTGCTGGGACGCTGGGGAGGGTGGGCTGGCCACTTGCTGGGTAACCCCAGGCTGGTCTTCAAGGCCGTGGCTTTCTGGGGAGCTGAATGCTTGCTGTCTTTCAAATAGCAGCATTTTGCCATTCAATGACATGCTTTCTATCCCTGACAAAGTGGGATAACGGTCCTGGGGGCTCTTAGTGGGTGCCTGGAAGGTGCCAGGAAATAGCAAAGCCACCGTGCCTCCCCTCATGCCACGTAGGCTGTGACTGTGGGAGGGCATCCAGGGTAAAGGCAGGGCTGAATCTGAGCTGATGTCAGCCGTGCTCTAAGTCACTAGAGCAACCTCATCTTCAGGGCTTCTTTGGTGAGACGGACCCAGAGAAATAGCTTAACGAAGCTTGCTGCTCTGGTGCTCAGCTTGTTCCTTGTTACTTCACCCCCATTTCTCTCTGCCAAGCTGGAGAGACCCCTCTGTCTGGCCCTTTCTAGTTTTCCAGGGAAATCGCAGTCCCAAGAACTTGCCACGTGCATCCTTGCTAACGGCTGCTTCTTTTTGTCCCTTGTGTCCCCATCCTGGCTCTAGACTACACTTTTGCCATGTACCCCCCCTCCATGATTGCGACAGGCAGTATCGGAGCGGCGATCCATGGCCTGACGGTCTCCGTGAACGATTTCACCGGCGAGGCGATCACCGAGCTGCTGGCCAGCATCACTGGCACGGAGGTGGTGAGTGGTCACAGGGTAACGGCAAAGTGGTCTTGCTGCTGGATCTGGTGGAAACCCTTCCTCTTTCTGCTGCTCATTTTTCTTAGAGTGAGAGGAAATTAGGCTGTTCATAACAATGCTGACCTTGGTTTGAGGAGTGCCTCGCAATGAGTGAGCATCTCTAAACGCAGCACCCTTGGTCAGTCCCATGGCTGCACTCGGCTCCTGGCCAGCAAGAGCTGCCCGCACGGAGCAGGGCGAGCTCGGGAGCCTTTTCAAAAGCAGCACAAAGGGGAACGTCTGTTCCCTGCACGGGCAGGTGTTGGCGAGATCAGGTTTTGACAAGGTGGGATGGGGCAGAGGGAGAAGCCGGGCTCGGCATCTGCTAACCTCTGCCGGTGTCTGGTTGCAGGTACCCAGGCCCTGTGGGAAGGGGGTGGGGGGCACGGAGCGGTTCGGGATGCTGTCACAGCAGCTTCGCTGGGGACATCGGGATGGTGGGGGGCATCTGCATGCCCCTCCACTGCCCTTTGAATGGGGAAGGGCGAACCCTGTTGGGGTCCCCGTTACCTTCCTGCAGCAGGAGCGACCTGGAAATCGGGAGCCTTTCTTCTGCCAGGGGCCCCTTTTGATCTTTTCTTCTGCCCGAGTGCTAATGCCGGCAGCCGGGCGCGGGGTTAGTTACAGTCCCCTGACAGCAGCGCCGGGAATTGGAAGAGGTGCCGGTGCCGCAGCGGGTGGGAGGCTGCAGCCAGGCTTTGTCCAGGCAGGGAGGAGACGGGGCAGGAGGGTGTCCTGATCTATTTGTGCGGCTTTGATTTTTTTGTTGTTGTTGTTTGGTTGGGTTTTTGGAGGTTTCTTTTTTTTTTGTTGTTGTTGTTTGTTTGGGTTTTTGGTGGTTTCTTTTTTTTTTTTTTTTTTTTTTTTGTTCACTGGAGCCTTTTTAAAGAGAGAATCGGTGCAGCCAGCTGCTCTCAAGCTGCTGCGGTGAATGGGGCTGGGGCTGAAACCTGCTCTGGGTCGGGGCTGGTGGAGGGAACAGGTGGGAAGCAGAGGGGGCACTGCCGAGGGAGGGGACCCGAAATGGAGCCCAACACACCTCTGCCGCCCTCCAGCCCGTTCCCCTCCCTCCTCAGCACGGAGAGGGCGTCTCTTCTGCCCCACAGCCAGCCTAGGTGCGAGGTGCTGCACAAACAGCCCCGGCCCAGGCAGGACCACGGCGGCTCCTTTAGCAGAAGGAAGCCCTGGGGATGTGTCCGCAGCGCTCCCGGGGGGAGCACCCAGCCTCAGCCTCCCGTGTTTGGGGTGTTGAGACTTCTCCCTGAACCTGACCTTGCAGTATCCCTGGGCTGTGACTCAGTTTCCCCTTTGGCTCCACATTGGAGGAGTGATCCCACACTGGAGAAGTGATCCCTTCCCGCAGCTGCCGAGGCTCAGCCGGGCAGCGCTGGGGGTGTGGGCACTCCGTGGGGATGGAGGGGTACGATGGTGCAGGGCTGTGCTGGCTCCGTGGCCCACGTGAGCTACACTGCCACGCTGAGGCTGGCTTGTTCCTGGCTGTGCTGGCGCTTCGGGTGTGACTTGGAGCTGCTCTGGACCAGTTCTCATCCCTCACCGAGCAGAACCAGCGCCACTGGGTGTCTGAGCCGGAGCCCCACGGCACGGCTGCACTGCGGAGTAGGGAACACACAGGCTGGGGCCAGCCGAGCTGCCTCTCTGGTACACCCTGAGGCTTCACCAGCCCCCAAAGGAGCCCGGGTGCCTGTGGCCAAGCTGGCCTTTAGCATTTCTGCCAAAATTGCCGACAGAGAGCCCGGGGCCGTGGCGTGAGGCCCTGCAGCAAGCTTGCCCCGGGGCTGCGGGCAGGCGGGCTGGAGGCTGTGCTGACGGGAAGCGGCGTGGGGAAAGGGAGGTGGGCGTTGCTATTTTCGCTCGCCACATCCTCTGTCAGTTTCTAAGAACCAGCGGCGGATTCCTGGTAAGAGATTTCGGTGTGTGACAATATCCAGCGAGCGCTCACAGTGTCCAGTTTGGCTCCAGCCGCAAGGTGCGAAATGCCACCTCTTACCCCTCGGTGAGAGCCGAGATGCGGTGTCGGAGCTGGGCCGGGGTGCGCCCGTTGGCAGTGCCTCTCATGGCTCTTGGTGTGTCACGCTGCTCTGGTGTCAAAGTAGAGGAGTTTCCTCCTGGTTACAGCTCATGTGGGGAGAAAACGGAGGGGGTTTTGCTCTTAATACAAGTGATATGCCACTACTCGCAGTCCCCCGCGCCTTCCTGTTTGTGGGGCTGGTGTGTCCCCCGCACTGGGCTCCGGGAGCTGCGGGTGAGTCACACGGGGCTCCCTGGGGGGAGAGCAGGATGGTAACAGCCTTGCGAGAGGCTACGTGGCCATACCATCGTTCTCGTAACGACCCAGCATCGATGGCACGGAGTGTTGTAGGGAACGCATGGCTGGGGCAGCTCTTGGGTCTGGGAGGGTCGGGTCCAGCTGCCTTTGAGATCCCCAAAGTGATGGAGCGTGCGGCAGGCAGGGCACCCAACGGGGATTCCTCTCGTCCTGGTTCGGACAGGGCAGGGACAGGAGGAGGCAGAGCTGTGTGCAGCTTCTCTGCAGTGGGTGGGTGACCGCAGGGATGCAGGATCACGGGAGACCTGGGATATAGGGCCTGGGGGAGGCAGGTGGGGCTCCGAGGTCCCTGTGCGGCTGCATGCCGGCCATTGCTTGTGGATCTGGTTGGAAAGGTTGATACCAGCCTGCACAGAGCTGTTCTGCTCTACCCTCTCGGTCGTCAGCGGCAGCTGACTGCCGTGATGCTGGAATCACACGCTGCATCCCGGCACGTGCCCGGATGCTTTGGGAAGCTCTGATGGGCACAACGTCTATTCCTCGAGAATGTGGTCGAGCAAGGAGGTGGGGAGAAGACAACCAGAGAGTGGGGCTTCTCCTGGGGAGGGGCCTAAAGCACAGACAAGTTGGAGATGCCCCTTGTCAGAGAAAGACTTCTTTGTCTTGTGTGTGTAGATGCTCCAGGGGCCAGAAACGTAGCCCAGCAGCTGCTCAGAGCTATTTATAAGGCTCCCACCTCCGAGTGGCAGAGAACTGAGGCCTCTTGTCTCTCTCCCTCTCCCGCAGGACTGCCTGAAAGCCTGTCAGGAGCAGATTGAGGCAGCCTTAGCCGAGAGCTTGAAACAGGCGTCCCAAACCCAACAGGAATACAACGCCGCCAAGACTGCTGCTTACCCGGCCAGCCAGCCCACCAGCACGCCTACAGACGTCACGGACATCAACCTGTGACCAGCCTCCCCTTCCTGAGAGCTGCCCGGCCCCACTGCAGCAGGACCTCGCCCTGGACACCGGAAAGTCGCTGCATCCCACCTACCCATCCATCAGCCCCCTCCATCTGACGCCTGCCGAGAATTTGTTCCGCTCGCTGGGAGCGCGGAGCAGGATCCACGCTCGTCCGTCAGAGCGGGCAGCCGGGCTGGCAGAGCTCGCTGCTGCAGGTGGCTGGGGTGAAGCGACTGTTTGCACGGTGGCAGGGCACAGGAATTGCTGGGGAGGGAGAGCAGGACCCAAAATGAAGTTGTAAAACGTTTCTCAGTTCGTGTTACTCGTAGCCTGGCAGGCCGCTGTTTGCCATCTCCTCGGGGGTGTTTACTGTGACGATTCCCAGCCCTGCATGGGCCATCAATCATGGATAGCGAGCCTCTGACCCTTGCCTACGTGCCCACATTCCTTACAACCCCCAACCTCCCTCCCCAGGCCGGGGTGCTACGGGCCCGTGTGGCTCACGAGATGGAACCGAGTGTCCGGGAGGAGGGAGCGGGTGCTTCTTGTCCCCTTGGTCCCAATTGCTTTGTGCCAGATTGCTGTGGCTCCTGGGGGGTGGTGTGGCTGCTTCTGCTTGGAGGGGGAAACGTGGGGCTTGTTTCTTGTTGCCGTTAGATTTGGGATTTGTCGGGTTTCAGCTTGCTTGGGGGACGCGCTCCCTGTCTGCGTGGACAGTCCTCGCCTCGGGAGCAGCCTCCTGGGCAAAGTTCGGGTGCAATCCCCTTGGCTTTCCACTGCCCCACTGAGGCTGCTTAATTTATTGTTAACTGCTGGGAAATGGGGAGGGAGGAAGACTTTGCAGTTCCTCGGTGTGGGGCGTGGGTGCTGGTCTCCTCTCCTCCCAAAAGTGCCTTCACCCTTCATCCCCTTCCCAAGCTCCCTGCGCGACGGGAGACTCTCACTTGGAAGCTGGTTGGGTTTTTAGGTAGCTTAGACATCAGACTAGGTTTTAAGAAATACCTTTGAATGTGCTGCTATAGTTTGAAATGCATCTTCATGCCTCTAAGGCAGGGCTCTCGGATCGCGGTCGGGAGGGGGCTGCGTTGCATATATATCCATGTGGGGCCCAGTTGTATCCTCATCGGGTGGAAAATTTGCTGCGCACTTGAGTTGAAAAGCAACTATTGCATTTTTATATTGTTGTTGTTGATCTTGTCTGTTAGTTTTTATAAAAAGGTGTTTAAAAAAAGTAATAATGCTGCTTTTCTAAGAGAGAACCATTAAATAGTAGAATTGTATTAACCAGGAGAAGCCGGAGAGACTCTGCAGGGATGGGAGGCAGCCTGTCACTGCTGGGTGACCTCTGGACACATGGATCTGTGGTTGCTGTCCTCCCATGGGGGATGTGGAAAAGGAGGTTGAAATCTCCCTTTTTGGATGCCACTAGAAACAAAAGTCTTATTAGGTGGAAAAAGATGGGGCTGCTGTTTTTCCACCAGCCTGATTTTGTCAAGAAGAGCCATCTGCCACTGCCTCCTGCTAGCAGGGGGGCTGGAGGGTGCACAGAGCCTGTCTGTACAAAAAGAAAAGAATTTTTTTATATATAAGTGAGTTTTAATTTAAGAGTAAACTGGTTCGGTGTTCAAATACAAAAGTCCCACTGCTGGGAGAATCAGAGGACCGTATGATGTTACAATAAAGTATTTTAAACAGTATGAACGCCTCAAAGGTTTCCCTTTGTGATCTGCTCTGTGCTGTGCCTCGGGCAGATCTCGGCCTCCCCCTCCCTCGCAGAGCTCCGGCCTCTGCCCGGAGTTGCTCTGGGGAAGACCCATCAGCTGGGGGATCCCAGAGGCTCCAGCCCTGCATTTTCCAGGGCAGGATGAAACGGGGAGTGGGCAGGCAGACGCCCACCAGCCAGCTCCAACCCCACTCGGAGATGGAGGGGAGATGCCGTTGCGCTCACTGAAGCCCTGGGGCAGCTCACAGGCAGCGGTGGATGAAGGTGGAACCAAACGTCTTCCTGTGGGCAATGTGTCTGGAGAGGAGGCAGTGAATTCACGCCTCTGGCAGCTTTGAAGCCGCCCCCTCGCCGATCAGCACTGCAGCAGTGCAGGCGGTGCTGCAGGCTGGCAAGAGCGTGCTGGATGCGCTGCGCGAGCCTGGGCTATCTCTCGCGATCATCAGCTTCTGGTTTCTTTAAAGCAAAGGAGATAAAATCAGGAAGCCAAGGAAAAGGCGCTGCGGTGTGCAACGAGCCCGGGCGGCCAGGCTTTGCGTGCTGCTCTGCTCTGCATGGCTTCTGCTCCTGGTGCCACCGCTGTCACAGGAGAAGGTGCCAACTCTTGAGAGAAGCAAAGACGGGAGGTGGCTGTCCTTCTCCGTGGGCTGCACCAGCAGGACTTAGTGCTGGTTTCAGGAGCAAGGCCAGGTACTCGCAACGCGCAAACCATCAGCAATTCCCCACGGTAACCGCAGCACCTCGGGGGACACAGGAGGAAAAGTACCCGCTGGGTTTTTCAGCAGAGATAGCACATGTACAGGTTGCCACGAGCAGACCAGGCATGTGGCCTCGATGGCCAGCCGAGGACAGTGGCCCTGGGGCTTCACCAGCCTTGCTGAGTAGAGGCAGACCAGAGGGACAGCTGGGGAAGTGTTTTGGGAAAAGCCCTGGGGAAGGGGGATGGCAGGCATTTTGGAGGTGGAGGGTGGTGGTGGGGATGGGGCCAGGCAGGCAGGAAAGGTCCCAGCACTGCTCCTGCCCTCACCTCTGCCCACAGCCACACGCACACTCCCTGTGATGTCTCACTGCAGCCCATTCCTGCCTGGTGACAGCAGGGAAGCCCTTGTGAAACCCTCAAGCACCAACAGGAGTGGGGGTTTTTCCACCCCCAAGAGTGGTTTTGGGCTCTGGGAACAGCCTGGGGGTCCCAGCCCTGTCCCTCTGCCCAACCCTGCAGAGGCTGCTCAGGGCAGAGCGCAGGGAGCAGCCCCAGCCGGGGCACAGGGAGGGACGAGGGGGTGCCCAAGGGCCTCCTTCTTTCTTTGCAGTTTGGGGACAGCACTGGCAGCACAGACTCAATCTGCAGCTCTGCGAGAAGCCCCGGGCTGGTGGCTTTGCTCTGCCACCTGCTGGGGACAGGACAAGGTGGGGCGAGGACAGGGCAGGACCACACGTGGATGCGACCGCAGAGAGGTCACAGAACCACCCCTGACTGACCAACACGGCTCGGGTTTTATTTTCCAATACAGACACAGGCCAAGCCCTCCCAGGTACTGGTGGCACCAGGTTCCCGGGTGGGACAGGGGCTGCCCTGCCCCGAGACGAGCAGCGCAGTGAGCACAGTCCGGCTTTACAGGCACAGCCTGGCCCCAGCACCCGCTCGGAGCAGCAGGATCCTGGGATAGATGCTCCCGCACGCCTCCCCACGGCTTTGCTCACGCACCCGGCTCCCAGATGTGCTCAGCAGTGTCCTGGGAGCAGGTCAGGCTGCAGGTTTTCCCTGCCTCTCCCTGACACTCCATGGCCACGGGCCGCTGCCCCTCCACATCCCGCGTCTTGGAGTTCACCAGCTCCCTCCGGATCTCCGGTGAGATCTGCGGATGGCTGTGAAACTTGAGCAGCTCGAGCAAAGCCTCCTTCTGCTCTGAGGAGAGGTCCTCCTTGTAGCGCTGGGCAAAGGCCAGGAAGCTCTGGTGCCACAGCACGGGCAGGACCCGCTGGTCCGTGCGGAAGGCCAGGAAGTGGAAGACGAGGGCATCCACCACGCGGAAAGGCAGGGCGTACTTCTTGTCGATGAGCAGCCGGAGGAAGATGCTGTTGGCGCCACTGTACTGCATCTCAGCAATCTTCAGCATGGCCGCGCTGTGGGGACAGAGGGAGCACCGAGGTGAGGGCATGCCAGGCAGGAACCACGGGGGCACCAGGCACCCAGACACAAAGATGACAAACCCAGTGCTGAGCACCAAGATCTCAAGAGAGCTCAAAGCTCTTGAGAGCTTTTAGACACAAAGATCTCAACCCTGAAGGGAGCTGAGAAAACCTCTATCCTCCGGAGAGGCTGAGGGACAGATCTGAGGTGTTGCACCGGTGTCCCTAAAGGAGAACCTCTGCCCCACCCCCCCCAGCTTCCTAAGGCATTACCTGGAGTGGAGGACAGGGATGGAGCACTTGGTGAGGATGCTTCCGATGATGATGGCCTCCCGCAGCGTGCAGGTCCCTGACTCGCACAGGGGGATGAGGATCCCTGCAGAAGGGAAAGAATCAGGCACCGCTTGTCTTAAATCGCAGCAGGCAGAGGTTGGGATGCAGGGCTCAGCCCCTTCTCCTGTCCCAGGACACATCCAACCCCAGGAAATACCAGCTCTTCCAGCAGCTGCTGTTACAGGGGCCGCAGCATCTCCCTGCCATGCAAGCCCCAAACCACCTCAGGTTGCCAGACGAGACCAAGATCAGACTTGAGACAGTTTGTAGCCTGCCATCAACCTCTAAAAGATCCCAAACACCTGCCACAACTCGCTGGCAGCACCTGTGTAAGCCTATGGCACTCATTACCCTTCCTGAATGCTGCAAACAGGCCCCTGGGGGTTTGGAAGCTGCCTCATCCACCAAGGGGGACTCCCTCCATCTCCTTCGCATCTTTTCCTCCCCACTGACTTCCCAGAGCCATGCCATGCAGGGGACAGTGTCCTGTCATACTGAGCAGTGGTGTGCAATGTGTGCCCCTGCTGAGCTTCCAGGAGAGGTCCCCAGGTAGGAACGGCGGCCCGGCAGGGCGTCCCTACCTTTAAACCATGCTGCTGGCTTGAACAGAGCCTTCTTCAAAGCCATGTAGAGGTGAAAATTGAGGCGCTTATACTCAGCAATGTCATCCCTGATCCGTGGCAGCAGCACCAGGTTGTAGAACCGCTGGGCCATCCTCTCTTTCAGATTGGATGAAAATATCCTGGGAAAAAGCAAAGCACAAAGCGACGTGGAGACAAAGGACGCCAAGCAGGACACAGGTTGGTATTTTGTAAATCTGGTCCCAGTTATGTAAAGAAAAAGCAAAAAGTCCCACATCAGCATCTCCCAGATATGATCTTACCTAGTGGCTTGGTACATAGCAGCTGCTGTCCACGTCTCCGGCTCTGTGATGTAGAGGATCTGCTCCCAGTTGGACAAGGCAGGAATGATTTTAAATGCCTTGGGGAGTTTCCCACTCCTGTATTTAGAGAGCACCTTAAAAGACACGGACACAGGTCAGGCCATGACATACAGGCAGTGACAGCAGGGCTGCAGGACTTGTCTCACGACTGTGAGAATGCCGTCCCCTCCCTCAGCATCTCTGGTAAGAAAGAACCGTCCCAGAATCAGTCCGAGCATGCTGCTCAGGAGATTGTCACTCAGAAACTCTCTGGGCCCTTCAGTGACTGATACTAAGCAAAATGCAGGTAATACACAGAACTGCCTGCACCGAGTGAGGATGGGGACGCTGAGGGAGAGCAGGGGCAGAGGCAGTGGCTGTGGGGCTCAGCGTGGTGTTTGCTGGACCCCAAGGCAGTGCGGCTTTGGCCTTACCTCTTTGACGCCCCTATAGACTTCCAGGACGCGGGGATCGAGCTGGGACATGGGGCAGCCCGATATCTCTGACAGCGCCGTCTCCACCTCCGTCTGCTTCTCCGTGATCTTTTCCATGATGATGTCGGCCAGCGTGCGCCTGGGGCCGAGGCAGGAGAGCCGTGAGCCAGGGAGCGGCACCCGCTGCCCTGTCCCGGCCCCTCGGTCCTCACCTCAGCGGCGGGTTCTTGTTCATGAACATCTCAATGGCCTTCTCGTCCTCGGGGTCCACCACCACTTCCCCGCAATACTCCCCTCTCCGACTTGCCACCGCCGCCGCCTTCTCCAACGCGGGCCACTCCTCAT